TGAGAAAGCCGAGCTCTTCATCGGCTCATGACTCTGTGAACCTCTCAAGGTGTAATACAGGTTTGTTTTGCTGTCATTTTTGTTATCTTGGGGGTTGGCAGTTGCCATAGTTGTTGTTATTGTTTTTGTTGGTGGCAGTTCTGTTTGGATAATGCTCACAAGACTGTGTGCTTTTTTCACTTTGAACTCGGGTTGCCACAAATTAATATTTTGTTCCATTTCCATTATATGGAGGAGGATTAAAGATGGGGTAGAGGAGGAGGAGGATAAGTGGGAGGAAGTGGAGTAGGGTGATGATTTGGAGGTAGAGGAGGAGGAGGAGGAGTGAGGGAGGGAGGGAGGGGGGAGGAGGAGGAGGGTGGGGGAGGGGGGGTTAAATGTATGTGTGTTTGTGTGTGTGTGTGTGTGTGTGTGTGTGTGTGTGTGTGTGTGTGTGTGTGTGTGTGTGTGTGTGTGTGCGCGCGTGTGTGTATGTGTTTGTGTGAGCGTCGTGTGCCAGGATCTGGACAGTAAAGATGTATCTTATTTTATCTTATCTTAGGTGATCTCTTCTCCTTCTTTTCTTTGTATGTTGCTCTTTTGTACATGTTACACCTTTAATCTTTGGCACCGACTAATAATATGAACTGTTTGTGTTGCAAAAGGCGTAAAACTCTTTTTTTTAAAATAAATATAATGAAATATTGTTTTTGATGGGAGTCTACTTTCCACTTTGTGACAGATTGGCGTTGGCTTCAGCTACTCCGGAGGAGGTGGAGAGTCCAAGCGAAACTGTGACATCGCAAACAACTTGTACAGGTGAGAAGCCCGGAGTGGTAGCTTTGTGTACCGGCGTCTGTGCTGCTGGTGGAGTGGTTAGGCACGTCACTGTTGTACCCCGAAGACGTGTGTATTCCCGAGTGGAACATTTTCGGTTGTTGTTTTTTTGTCGAGGAAAAGGGGGAGGGGGGTGTTATTGTTTAACTATAATATAAAGATCTTGATGTAACTACATAAGCTTACCATAAAGACAGTTCAGTGGGGTGGGGGGG